ATAATAAAAAATGATAAAATTGGTCAAATACATATACATATTCGCGCACCGAGTCTTATATTTGTTTTACATCCGTACAATCGAGAATACTTGGTACTATTAATATAGTACCTTATATTATAGAGCATTTGGAACTTTCGAGCAATATACCAGTTTTTTTTTTGTACTTTTTTGAGAATATAGTCGGACTAAGACCAGTGACTGGACCAATCTGAACTAAAATTATAATAAAAAAGCACGTTTCTCAAATGGGAATCTCCAGACGGACAGAGATCCTTCGATTGATTAATTTGGGCATTAAAAACCTAAAAACCTTTTTTCGGATTTCCGGAAATCCAAGTAGATAGATAGCTTTATTATATAAATTAATTAAATATCAAATATTTGCATAGTGCTAGAAAAGTATATACCTATATGTTTCATTATTCATAACAAAAATATAACTTAAAATTAAGACATTTTACTAAGTTCATGGCATACCTCTCCGCTGTACTAATTAGGTTAAAATACAACGTACACGATGAACCAAAGCAATCCGTGACTGAAGTCGCGATCACGAACTTACAAGAAATAAACTCTACGTATGAACTAACTCGAGCACATTAACTATTTGGTGCCTTTCTATCACCTGTATTACATTGCTACATTGGTACAAACTTAACAATACGTATATATTAAACTAAAACACGTGCGTAATTTTACATAATTTATAATGCGTAATTAACTGCGTAGAGTTATGAAACTATGAATGTTGAAAAGTGAAAAGTGACCGGCACATCAAATTCTAATGCCTTTGTATGTTAGATGAGCATTTGAATGATTTGTTTGCTAGTGGTTGTTAAATTTTATACATAAGTTCATTAAAATTAAATGAATAGAACACAATTATGCACAACCATTTTAAGGCAACCACAACTTGCACATTTTTATGTCCAGTTTCACAATTTTATTAATATTAATTACATATAAAAACTTGTTAAAATATCTGATTTATTCCTAGAGAGAAAAAAATGAAATGAATGCTGTATAACAGTGACTGAACCATACAACTAATTAAATATTTCATTTTCATTAAATTCGTTTCCCATCAAATAAACATGTTTGTAAACTTGTTGAAAATGTAATTAAAGATTGTATCAGCAACAATTGTTTTCAGAACAAAATTAAATTTCACACCTTGTTTATATTGCCGACTTACGTAACGATTAAATGATTAATTGTTTCAACAAAGCTTAGAGAAGTAATATAATGAACTTGTGCTATTGTAACTCGTAAATTGTTAGAATCTTTAAAGTTAACTAAAATTTTGTTTTGGTCTGTAAATGTGTAACGCAGCGGAATCAATATGAAAAAAATTATACAGAGAAAGTTAAATCCATGTTAGTAATTATTACAATCATACTGAATACGTCGACGTAAATGAGATAATAAGTTTACATTTCCCACACTCGGAAACGGTTTTTCAGTTCTACGACATACAAGAAAATGAGGCCTTGATTACATTTTAATCATACAAACATATGCTATGCTGATTGTTTGTAGATATTTATCAAATCGAAAACCGTTTTTGTAAGAACAAGTGATTCAAGATATTTTGATTTCATTTTATTCTTCTCCTTCTCGTATCGACAGCAAGTTTTAAATTGAGCCAGCCCAAAACTTAGCCACCATTATCACTTTATCAGTGGCATCCACAAGCTCCTGTAAGTTGCAGGGCAAGTAACTGCCTCATCGCTTGTGGAACAAGTCCACATATGCCCCAGGAGGTTTGTAGATTGATATGATCGTACAAATACCAGCATGGATGGTGATAAGTTCGGTGCCATTTTGGCTTCGGATGACAGATCTCGGTGATAAGCTTTAGTCCAGGTATGTGTGGCTGACTTTGGGTTTCACTCGATAAGTCTCTTGGACGCAAAGAACATCGCAATGTATTCTTCTGTTTAAATTCGAAAGAATTTCTGATTTGTTTTCTGAGAACCCTTTGATGTTAATCGAGACTATGCACAAAGAAGGTTTTATGAATGAATCTTGGATTGCCATCGTTACACCATTACATGTGAAAGGATTAGCCAAATAGCGTTAGTAAAATTCTGATTGCCCAGAGTGCGCCGGGCGTGTAGGTCGTATAACATCGCTCGGAGATGCTTCTTTCGTGCACCACGTTACGTTCAAAAGTTAAGATGTATTATGAATCGTTTGATCGTAATGAGATATGAATAGAAAGTAATGTTTCGAAACAGCTAATAAAATGCATTGGCGTGTCTCCAAGTAATAAATTTCAGTGCATCGTTCCATTGCAACAAAGCTTATTCCTCCCTTGTCCCTGCGTGGTCGGGTTTATCGAAATTTATGAGGACGCAACAAAGGCGGAAAGCATGGACGCTAAACTAGTAACTTAAATATGCCTTTTATAACGAGGAGCTTATTTAGTTTTCCATCTATTTTTTTTTTAATTTTATTTATGTACAATGTACATACTTATTCTATACTTTTATAATGTATTTATTATTTGGATGTTATAGTTTTTTTGAATCTTCATTTTCTCTTTACTGATTAATGTTATTATAGATGTAATGAGCAGCATTTTCTATTACTAAATTATATAGAGATATCTAGAGAAATGAATAACTTTTTGTACCATTGGACATTGAAATTCATAATTAAAAGATGTTAGATTCTAAACAAATAGATTCACACATAATAGTTAGCAAAACATAGCATATGTGAAGCTCTTGCTGGGACGCTCATTGTCGACTACAATGCTAGTTATGAATTCTGTCGCAAAAAATATCGTCCGCCACTACCGTGTCGTTCACCTTTAAGGAAATGTATGTTGTGCGTTTAATAAATTTCGTTTGTCGCATCCAATTTACAAATATGGAACTATGAATCAGTGCACAATAATGCACTCTTGCACGAGTCACCTACAAAAACAACAAAATTAAAATTTTAATGTAGAACAGCCGATTTTGGTCACTGGTTTATCAAATCTTTATTACTACGAGTACTACTAGTACTAGTTTATACTACCAACACGTACTGCATATGAACAGATTTTTTTTAAATATAAATATTAGAAAATCTTTTTATATGACAATCTATACAGATTAATAAAATTGAAGTGTCTGTTTGTATATGAAATTATTTACGGTACTTATAAAAAAAAACATTTTTTAAATTTTTGTCTGTCTGTTCCGGATAATCTCTGAAACGGCTGGACTGATTTTGACGGGACCTTCACGGGAAAATAGCTGATGTTAGAGAAATAGGTAACATAGTCTACTTTTATTTTAGAAAAAGAATTAGGGTTCCGCTCAAAAAAATTAAAACGTATCCAGGGACGAACCCGAGCGAAGCGAGGGTGAGTCGCTAGTTATATATTATAAGAAGTCTGTAAAGTTGTATCATATATTTACTCCACGTGTAGGGTGTACGAGAATATAGTAAAACCTATCAAATTATAATTTAGCAGTTTTTTTTATAGTAACCAAACCCGCACCCAATTAATACTTTAATTATAATTATGTTAAAGAATACAGTACTAACATTTTTTTTCTTTTTATTCTATAAAATTTAATAATACAGACAGCTTAGGACATACCATTAGGTTTATGGAAATTAGATGAAGTAATATAGATAATGTACTATAAAAGTGTGTTAATCAACTTCCCATTTAGTACCTTAAACGATAACATCGATAAATCTATGAGAAGAATGCTCTTTATACTTGTTAGGTAGAAATAAGTCGAATGTTTACGAGTATATAGAACGTAAGAGTTGCTGTAAAAAGCTTTTTGTTTGCGTAATTGGATTCTGGTGTTGCCTGGGGGCAGTTTTTTCATCTTTAAGAAATTTCAGTAACAAAACACCTGCACAGGTTTAATGGATATTTTAGATTACTATTGAATAGAAGATAGCTTAAATCTAAAAGCTAATTTTTGTGTGTCAGTTTAGTTCATAGATTTGATACAGGGATCAAAGGGCAGTTCATGTTCATTTTAAACATTCATAACTTAGTTTGTCCCATTACTTTAGAGGTATAATGTATTAATATTAGATATATCAATATCTGCAGCTCGCAAAGACACCTCTATGCATAAAATCTTAATTTATTGCTCCGTTGCTGCATAAAATACGTCCAAACTAACAAACGCAATTTGGTATTTACTATATTAGTACTTAAAAATAATTACATCGACAGATAGCTTGCCGTTATGAATTATTACTAAAATACCAAATGTACTCGTTTATATAGTGACTGTTAAATATAAATATTCTACATCGGTACTTTTAAAGACTTTATTATAATAAAAACGTATTGTGAAAAAATATTAACTAAATTTCAAAAGGAAAATTAGGAATGTACTTCTCCTAAAAGATTTATAATTTAACTCCATATCTTATATTAATGCATGTTCTGCTAACATAATTCTAGTGTTGTTGTTTTGTCAAATCTCTACTCTTTTACTATATGAATTGTTTGTTTGTGGAAACTTTATTGGTGTATGTACTATTTTTATTGTTGTATGTTGTTTGTGTTGTAACACTGTATGTTTCCCTAATAATAAATAAAATAAAAATAAATAAAAAATAAGATGTATAAAATAGGTCTCTTAACTAAAACAGATTTCATTTATATGTAAGTAATTTAAATGACGTTATGTTTGAATGGTTGAAAGGTAAAACCTTTCTTATTTGGGATTCTATCTAAATTAAAATATCAAGAAATTGTAGAAATAGTGTCTATTCCTACACCGTGAAGAATTGATTTCGTACAGGTCATGCGATTTGCTACAAATCGGGCAGTACCTGAGACCATGGCTATTTATATAGATATTTTTTTAAGACAAGTTGAAAAACCTTTTGTATCGTCATAAACAAAAGTTTTTCTAGACTAGACTATAAGAAAGTAAATATATAACATACATATGTAGTTGGACGAAGTTTTTGTACCAGTACATTGCAAATGCTAGAAAATTAAAATAATGCTTACTTACCGTTTAGGCACGCTAATCCTACGTTGCCGAAAGAGATGGTCCATTGTCTTAGCCTTTTCACTTTTGTCGACTGTTCCACAGAAGAAATTATAAGGAACTTTCACTTGTGTTGATTCCGAGCGAACTCCAGAACTCAAGTCACTGTATCACTTAATACGTTTACATATACCCTCGTCAGTTTGTATGTCTGTATTACACAATCAAACAGCCACAATTGTCTGCATTATTCATTAAAAAAACCAATGAAGTGTTTCGATATTTTACGCAGTCCGTTGAATTTGTTGGTCCTAAAATACAAGATATGTATTGTTACACTATCTTTGTGGTATTAATTTATAACAAAATTTCTCTCCTTTCGTTTTAAATCCCCTCCATAAATTAACTTGAACTCGTTATACGATAAATAAGAAAGATACTACAGTGAAACTAAAATGTTAAGTTTATCTTAAGATATTATCTACATTATGTATAAAATTATTTCCTCAATTTAAATGTATATTATTACAATTCGGCAAAAGTAATTAGGATTCGGTAAGCTTTGATATTTAATTAAAGCACATAATCTATTACAATCAAAAATGTTATGAAATTTATAAAAATCAGAAAGAAATATTTATAAACAAGACATAGGCATGTGCCATGTAGGTAACGAGCTAGGTATCATTTTTTTATATATTTGTGTTTTTTAATAATTTATAATTTCATTATACGTATTTCATTATTATTTTATTTTTCGAGGCGAAATTTAGCAGGCTTTTGCTGTTTTATTAATTATTTATAAACTTAAATGTTTAATACAGGTCTTATTGACACTAAGTACAAAAAACTATTCACCGATTTATAAGTTCGTGACAGAATCAAAAACTTATCCAACTAATACGAAGAAAAAGCATGAAAAACGCTCTACAAAAGGTTACCGATAGATCTTTTTACCTCTTCATTCAAGTCAATTTCATTTAATTTTATTGAAAAATCTCCAGCAGAGAACATGCCGTTAAATAATATTTCAAATAGTAAAGTAAAACGAATAAAATTTAACGTTTGATCGTGTCACTTTGCAAGTAAGGTATAAGTAATTATTAAGCCGTGCGTTTGTTTATGTTAAAATTAAATTAAATTATTTAAAAAAAATGAAGTCCGCCAACCCACACTTGGCCAGCGTGGTGGACTATGGCCTGATCAACCTCGTACTGAAGGGAGGCCAGTGCCCAGCAGTGGGACGTTAAAAAAGGCTGAATACATACATACATTTAATAAAAAATAGTTCACAATCCGTACTATATTCGCATTCGGCTTCGTACGAAGAAAAATTATTTCTTTTCAAAAAAATCTTGTCGAAGCGTTATTTTATATGAGATACTCGATTTAGAATAATTATTATGTAAAAACCATTTTCTCCAAATTATAAATTATCCAAATTATGATTCATAATATAAATAATATATTCCGTATACCTTAACTTTACGGCAATAATAAAAAAAACTATTTCAGTAATTAAAAAAAAAAGAATATTAAGTTAATTTACACTCATATATTTTCATAATTCTCGTAAAAACCTTTACATAAATTAAAATTATTCCTACATATGTCTCACCATTTATATAAACTAAAATAGGTAACTATTTAGAATTATTTTATCTCGATATACACGTGTGATGGTTGAAATGCGCGAAGCTAGAACGCGTGCAGCTATACGAGCGCTTTCTGAACACTGACGGTTCAGCCGTCAGCGGCCGGCGACGACGCCTCTACACTCTTTAAGGAGATTTAGTGAGAGGTGAGAAATGTCCTCTTCAAATTTTGATGTTTACCATTCATACAACAATTGAACTCTACGCTCCCGCGGCTAAACCTACCCTTTTGTGCCTTGTAATAGTAACGTGTATGCCCAACCCATGATGCAATCTATGTCTTTGCCAAACTTCATCAAAATTTGTACAACTTTACTTTTTCATTTAGTATTGATTTTTGATTTCTGCTTTTAAACGCATAAATTCCCTCTAAAAAAATCAAAAGCTCAATTAGAATATAACTTGAAACTTTTGTAACTCCTTCCTTCCTTTTAATGTTATAAGTGTGAACGTTTGTTCGCCTGTTTGTTTGTTACTCCTTTACATTGAAAGAGATTAAAAGAAAGACGGATTTTGATAAAATTTAGCACATATATAGACCGCGACCTGAAGTAACACATACGCTACTCTGTTACTGTTTACGCTACTCTGTCGTAATAAGCAAATAACTACCAAATCGAGGCGCACTCTTCAATTTTATATAAAAATTATCACATAATATAATAATAACAATATCATAGCCACATGTATGAGAAAGCATCACTTGAGTACGGCATAATCGATTTGGCTGATTTCTTTTTTGTTATGTTCGTAATTGTCAGGACAAGGTTTTTATGAAAGAAATTTTTTGGAAAATTTACCGGAAACGTCGCAAATGTATGAAAATTTAAATACAATATAATGTGACTTTCTACATTATTCGCATAGAAAAACGTTCAATATTTTAATGTAGAGACATAACCTCTATGATTTTATTAAAATTACTAGCGTTGCCTCCGGCTTCACCCGCATTCAAACTACCAAGAAAATAATTTTTCCGTCTATATACATATATATATATATATATATATATATATATATATATATATATATATATATTGGCCAAAATAATATTTTTTCATCAATAAAAATCGGACTTTCTGAACAAAAAAAAAATCGGATAAGTGTGAGTATTATTCGCGTATCGAGGGTTCCGTACCGGCAAATATTGTATTATTTTTACGTATTTTAATAGGTTAATATTCATTCAATTTCTTGTTAACACCTTCAAAGCGTGCCAGTTGAATATAGATTACTTAGCAGATTTACAATAAAATAAAATGTTTACATTTTCACAATACACATTTTACCTACCGCAAAAATAAGTTCGTGTTCCATACTATTTCTCTCGCACGCAACGGATTTTGATACGGTTTTCACTAATAGAGAGTTTTGTGTAAAAAATTGTAAATGATTTGTACAAAATGGCTGAACTGTGACAGTGTTTTGTCAAAAAACGCTCTTCCACGTGGCTTACGCTGGTTAAACCTTAAGATATACAAAAAAAAAACATTGTATCTGCCGGAAAATTTTAGGTTGTAAAAAGATGCGTACATATCTCCTAAGATAAACTGACAAAATTATTTTATCTATTTAAGCTTAGGTACCTGGAGACGCACCCAAACAAAGCGTGATTAGGTTGGTGGTAATATTAGAAATACAAAAGGCACCCGGGGATGTCCCTTTTTTTTTAACGTTGCGAAATGCATTTACGCACGAAGTGTGGGACTCACCGGCGAAGCCAGTACTACCCACTAAAACCCAACAAAACCTTCCCCCGTCTTAATGGGGCGTCGCAGGATCGCTTACGCATTCAACTACGACGCCCCGACGGCAGGTCTGCCGAAGCAGACCACAACAACCATGCGGTTGCTCCACGGTCCACTCTGCTATCAGAGAAGTACCAGGAGCAACCCGCATGGTATACCACCCTCCGAAGAAGGCCGCCTCCCACCGCCCACCGAAGCGGGCCACCTCCCTGTGCGTTTCTTGGCTTCGTGAGTACACTACTGAGCCCCCCCACCACGACAAGGTGAACGCACGTTGGGGGGAAATCGATTTATCCTACGTTAACTTTTTTAACCGACTTTGTAATAGATGATGATAATATGATCAAGGGTGCATAATTTTGTAATTAAACCCAAATATGTAATTTCAACAAAACAGTCCACCTTTAGGATGGAATAATAAATTTGAAAGTGATTTTATAGTCAGTATATCTTACCCGGGGATGTCCCTGAGCGAAGGTAAGTCGCTAGATGAACAATATTTATTATTATTATAAATTTAAAAGTAAAAATATTGAATTTCAGAAGATTAATTAATTACATATACTCGTATTGTACATAGATGTATGGATACTTGAAGAACAAATATAAATTCCTATATAAATGATGATATATTACTTATTTATAGAACTAAGTAATATATCTATATCATTGCAATAAATGAAAAAAGATGCATTAGGTAAATTACAAAGATCTTTAGATAAAGTATTATAATACGATGTGATTTTTCTCATGATTAGGAAGTTCGTGTTCTAATTAATATAACAGCTTTATTAAGACGAATCCCTGCATTATGTATCATATCGTGCTGCACAATCAAAAATAAAAATTAGTACTCACATCATAGGCAATACAAGTATCTAATTACACTTTTTCAATTGCGATGTTTTTCTAATAAAACCCACAATATATAAATCTATTATATTACTAGCATTGCCCGCGGCTCCGCCTGCGTTCAGATGACCAAAAACCAATTTCTTAGGTTTTACATATTAGTATACTTATACATTGCAGTTTTTGTATTTTTTCTCAGAAATGAGAAATTTTCTCGCAGTATAAAGTATTCTATATTTTGACCCGGATAACCAACTATCGTCATACCAAAATTTCATCAAAATCCTACCTGTGGTTTTTCTGTGATGCGGTAACAGACAGACAAAAATTCTAAAAACTATAGATTCGGCCTTTATATCGATAATAATGTTTATTTCAATAAGATTTTCGAAAATATATTTAAATGTACAGATTCGGCTTAGATTCAATTTTATTATATGTATAGATTATTATGCAAATATTAATGAATTATAAAAAATGCCAAATATGTTTATAGCATTTTATACATACGAGTACATATTTTTTAAATAACATTCATATTCCTTTACTTAATTATTAATTAAGTTACTAAATTCATTGAATTACACAAAACACTCATATGAATATATAACTTACAAAATGTAAATTTTACTATTGAAGTGAAACGCATTAATCATAAAGCGCTTGCAATTCTATTCTTATTCAAAAAATAAGTAGAAGCAGTCGGGCCTACTGCCGTTATTGTTTGAGACACCGTTTGCTGCACCAGTTTACATGCCCACGATCAAGTATATTTGATTTTAAACTAACAGTTAGGCAGAGACATGAATGTAA